AGGTTTTAGTCTAGTAAAGGAAAGGCTCTTGATTATAGAACTGGAAACAGTTGATGTAGGGGAAAAAAGTGTAAAATCAGGAAACACAAAGAATACATTTGACATCAGACTTTCGCTACAAGCCTTGCTTGGTCTTTTCCTAAGTCTTTTCTGAGCTGTCAGGGGACTAAGTCAGCTTGCACATTTGTTCCTCTGAGGTGCTGTGAAAGAGGATGCCTTTACCCAGTTCTTACTGGTATTATCAGCAAACCGCTGAAGTCCTGAGGAAACTTTAAAACACCCACCACAGCTTTCCCTCTCTTCACTTCCCTGTTGTGCTGGTTTTAGTCAGTGCTTAAACCCAGACACCTGTCTAATTTAGGAAGATGCCTTGTGCTGTGGCTTTGAATAGTGGCCATGAGAAAGTAAATAAAGTGTGGTATCAGGTTTGGTTTGGGGCTGAGTTTCGCCTGTGAGTGAATATTCCGTGATGCGTGGCTTCCTCTTTTTTGGTTACGGTCAGCTAAGTTGCAGTTTCAGTCCTCAACAAGGAGATTTACGATACTAGACTTTATGATGACTTCATAAATTCTATGTTACTTATTCATAACAAGTTGTTGCCTGTAGTTTCACAATTTTTGATGTGGCTGTTTGGTTTCTGTGGAGGTCACGTAAGGGTATTAATGGCTGGTTTGGTACGCAGGGTGCCTTGTCTTTAACAGTGTCCTTAAGCCGTCCCTCCTCCCCCGGGGTGACTGCTCAACTCCTACATCTCTCTTGCAGTTGGGTGGCTCATCCCTTGGTGATTTGGGGCGTCAGTCCTGTTTTCGGCCAGGTGCTCAAGCCATTTGCCTTGTCGCTTGTCCCCGCCTAAAAGGATGCTACTTCCATGGAGCAGGGGAACAGGATGAGACGGGTTGGTTTGCCACTTTCTCATCCGCCTATTCAGCACTCTGGATAGATGTTGAGGATGAAACGTTGTTGGGCTGGTAGCGCAGAGCTGGTCTCCACACAGCCTGCCTGTGGAAGGAGGATAGATCTGGAGTCAGTTTGGGAATAAGGGTGGCAGAGATGAGGGAGGCTAGGACATAGAGATTGCATGGGGTTAGGGGCAGATCCCAGATCAAGTGGGGAGAAAGAGCACCTGAACTCAGGGAAGGTACCAGGGAGTTTCTCAACTAGTTTCTCAGTGCGGTTCATTGAGATAAACCCCACAACAGGAACAAACCCCCTGTTCCCACCCAGGCAGTTGAGGTGCCTGGCTGGGCTTTGCCAGTGGAGGTACCCACCTCATCTTCCTCCGGGTGCAGGAGCAGCTCAGTTCCACTGGGAAAGTGGTGAACAACGCGGTGACCGGTTAACACAAGGTACTGGTGCCCAAAGAGGCTCTGTAGGAGCAGGTAGGAACTGGGCAGAGCAGTAGCTGGGGAGAATGGGCTGGCTGCGGACGCGCTGCCTGCCCGCAATGCTGCGGGAAGGGTCAGGCAGAATGTGAGCCGGGCATTAAATTAAGCCTGTTAAGGAGACACTTGGGGAACTTAAGATGGATTAACGTAAGGTGTAAAGTTTAAAGCATATTATTATGAAGGAGGATTAAGCTAAACTGAGCTAATGACACCACTTTTGAATGCATATCCACACAACAGATTCAGAGCTTTGGCTCCATGCCTTTTATTACTTAAATATACTTACCTTCTTAAATGGTCCCCATACAGATACATGCTCTTCTATTCCAGATTTCCACATTCTCCATTTTCCATGTTGATAAGTTTATATTCTGTGTGAGAGGTAGAACTGGTGTTGGTTGGTTTATGCAGATTTTTTTTCTCTTAAAATAGGAAGGCAGCATAGAAGTTAATTTTATTTTTTTCCCCATGGTGGTAATGGCATTTGTGATGACTTGATATTTATTCTTAGAATGAGTCATTTGGTAAGGAAGAAATAACTTTGTGTTATGTTGACATACCCTAATTTGTCTGTGCCCCATTGAGCCGTTTCTGTTGCTTTATTTTGTTGTTACTCTCATGGTATTGGGATATCTGCGGTGTCAGCATCTGAATTTTCCAAAAGCTCCGTACGCTCTCCTTTTACGCTGTGTGGGTTGAAAATCAAATGCACAGCTGAATACCGTATGAACTCCCACAAAATGCTTATCTTAGGTTAAACTGAGTCATGAATTAACTAACATAATTTGTGGTTCGTAATAATTTGTAAATAAGTAATAAAATCAACTGGATTGATTTTTTCAGGAGGGAAACTAATTTGAAGTTATGGGTTTGCTCTATGTTAAATAAACAACTTAGTAACGAGTTCTGTGTGTAATTTTACCCCACTACAAGCAATGCCATCAGGTTTTCCGTGAGGGCAAACTGGAGATAATATTTGTAAGTACATAAAAAGCTGAATATATTTAAAAAAAAAAAACCCACACACAAACCAACAACAACAAGCAAACAACAAAAACAAACAAAACCCAGAAATCCTGACTTTTACTACAATTCTTCTATTTAGACAACTGTGAAAAAGCAGAACAAAAATGAGAGAAAAAGTATCACAAAATATGCAATGCAATGTAAAAAAAAAAAAAAGTTTGAGTCACAGAGCGTGTTTTCCCACGCTGTTTAGTGAAAGCATAAGGAACCTGATAGAAAACCTCAAAATGTTTCGTTCTATGTGCTGTGTGGCTTGTGGTATCTGATGAAAGGTCTGGCGCTTCTCGTGCCTGCAAACCTCAGACGTAGGCAGGGACGGTGGCAGCTGTTCCGTGCTCTGAGGCTGAAGAAAACAAACTTCACTCTGCTGCAGAAGTAATAATGGATATAATAGCCTGTTCCTGTTTTGAATCCTGCTAGTCTTCAGCAGCCTGAGATATACCTTAAAATGTGTCTTTTAAAATACTCATATCCCTTATTAATCGTGGAAGAGGTCAATTAGGGGCCACCCTGACCCGTGTCCTAGACCTGGATTTGGTTGGTGGCCACCCGCCTCAGGCAGACCCAGGGCTGGAGCCACACGCCCAGGCAAGCAGCTCCAGAAATGCCCATTTGTGTGCAGCTGACAGCTTTTAATTCTGCACATCCTTTTCTGTTCCGCCCGATCCCAGTTACTGGGGGGGTCACCAGGTGCGCGTTCACAGCACGCGAGCGCGGGTTGAGCGCGTGAGTCTTCTGCAGCGCGCGGCCGGGCTCTTGCGCTCGTGCCTGTGTGCATCCAGCGGCGAAGGCTGCTGTTCCCAAGCAGAGGGCCAAGTGGTATTTCAGTCGCCATCCAAAGCGTGCAAAGACTATTTTCTTCTATTCCTTTTCTTGCCTGCAGTCCATGATGCATAATAAAAATAAACAAACATGGCATTACTACTACTATTAAATTTAAAAAAAAAATAATGCTGGAAGCTCTTAGTCTCAAGAAGAGGGTGGAGCAGGGGAAAAGTGCAGAGCCCATATAACAATGGGGAGTCTGCTTTATTAGTATTAAGGAGGAAAATAAAATCTGCTCTGGCAGTAGTGAAATAAAACACCAGGAAGATTACGTCAGTCTTTGTTTGCACACAGTATGATTCTTCTCTTTCACCAGCCAATTTGTGTATTTGAAAAGGCAGTTGCTTGGTTAAAATAATTAGCTGAACTTCATCCAATTCCCCAATTATGCGAAAAAAATGTTTGGAGAAATATAGACGATTGTTGTTGAGCAATTAAAAAAAAAAAAGTAGTGGTCACTGAACAATTATAGCGCCTTGTCTGAATACCCACATGTGTATCGTAGTTTCAGAATGAGACGGGCAGTTCTCGGTGACTGGGTGCCATAGCTGTTGTGGTCTGGGATGGCAGCTTGAGAGCTACAGCAAAATGCTAATGGATTCTGCCTGAAATTTATGCAGGATAGGTCTGCCTGGGGTTGCCTCAGAGACGAGAGAGAGGGTTTTGAAGCTCAACGTATCAAAGTGTACGTGACGGAAAAAAAGTGTTAACTAGCTACAAGTCATGTATCATAAATCTTATTTTAGGATTTAACAGGCCAAAATCTGTATTAATGAACGAGATCATCATCTGATATACTCCTTTATTCTGGACTATCTTAGATTATTATTTTGGGGAAAAACCACACAGAATTTTTGAGTAAGTTACTGTTTGAGTAAGAGACCTTTGCCACAATTCCACTAAGAATTCCCCTCAGGAGGTCCAGTGTAGTATATTAACAAGAACTTCAGTGACTGGGAAATCTTTTCCTTGTTGTTCCTACACTTTCATCCTTGGTACTAGACCTGTTGCATTTTCGGGAAAAGTAGTAATCGGAGATTTTGAAATGGAGGTTACTTGGGTAGGATCATAGAACCATAGAATGGTTTGGGTTGGAAGTGACCTTATAGACCATCCAGTTCCAACCCCCCTGCCATGGGCAGGGACAACTTCTACTAGACCAGGTTGCTCAAAGCCTCATCCAGCCTGGCCTTGAACACTTCCAGGGATGGGGCATCCACAGCTTCTCTGGGCAACCTGTCCCAGTGCCTCATCCACCCTCTCCATGAAGAATTTCTTCCTGATATCCAATCTAAACCTCCCCACTTTCAAGTTAAACCCGTTACCCCTTGTCCTGTCACTACAGGCCCTTGTAAAAAGTCCCCTCCAGGTTGTTTTTGCTCCTTTTATGGGGGGTGGACGTTAATGCTGCCTGTGGCCTGCTGGGTAACGAAGTGAGCTCAGCCATCCATTGCGGATGGCGTAGGCGATGCGCAAGGCGATGCCTGTGTCCCCCAGAGCTCGCAGGCAGTGGATTTTCCTGCCAGCCCAGGAGCATGGGAGCCAGGCAGCCCTCTGGGGCTGGCAGGGCTCCAGCTTCATCCCCCTAGTCCCCAGCTCACTTACCTCACCCAAACTTCTGCAGCTGCAGCGTGTCTTGCTGACCTCTGCGCGATCAGTGCTTGCTCTCCAGGTCACACCTCACTTTCCTCGCGCATGGGCTGCCCCGTGCACGTTGCGCTGTCCTGTATTTAGCCTCTGGATTTTGTTTCTTTCTCTTTGCAGGGAACGGATGCGCCAGTCTGCTATGTTTGAACTGTGCCAGGGGATGCACCAGATCAGTCTGCAGTTCGTTCGCTTGCAGCTTAGCTTCGAGGAGTACACTATCATGAAAGTTTTGCTGCTGTTAAGCACAGGTAAGTTAGGGTCACGGGAATACTTGATAACATTCCGATTCACAGAGAGGTGCAGTGATTTTAACTGATGTAACAAACGAGCCGAACCGTTTCCAGCAGGGCTGCAGGAATAAGCCGGGTGTTACGTCTTGGGGTTTATCTGCAGGTCTCACTCACCGTTAGCATGAGACGTGTCTTTGCAGTCTGAATGTGTCCTGTGCATTAGGAGGACAGGAGAGGCAGGGCAAGAGCCTTTGGCCCCCTCTCTCTGTACAGGAACCTCTCCAGTTGCCCAGGTGTGCCAAGAAAGTGTAATCGCTTTGAGGACTGGGGAAAAATCCCCACTCAGCACTCAAAGCCACTGGCTTGGGTGACGTCACCTTCAGGGTCAAAAGATGGACATTGCCTGTACTGCAAAGTGGGTAGTTTTCCAGTGCCAAGTGAACTGGGAACGGTAAACCCTTTTGCAGGGCTCTGAAAGTTTAATAAATGACAGCGTATGCTTTATTTTTCTCTCGAGTGTCAGACTCTGGGTCTTCTTAAGATACGAAATTACATCTCGGTGTTTGTTACAGCACCGCGTAGTAATTAGCAGATCTCTTGATCTTACTGAAAATACTGAAAGCCTCCCATCCCAGGACAATAGTGTAAATACACGGGCAGTTTGTACCTTACTTTTCCATCTGCCTTGATGAAAAAGGCAGTTACCTGCGAACAAACTTCCTCCTGTGAAACTAGACTGCTTTTAGTGGGCTCCAACTCAGCGACATCACGATGAGATCACGCATCAGCTCGATTGGTGGGCGTTCATGATGTCACTTCAGTGAACTCACCGGGCAAGAATTCCCCCCGGCTGGAGGAGGCTGGACGTGGGGGCATTGCGCGGGGGAGAGGAGGAGCAGGAGATCAAAGGGGCTGCTGTGCTTGTTCTGGCTTCTGCTTACAAGCAGCGGGATGCACACCCGAAGCTGCTGGGGCCAGGGGCTGCCCGGGCTAGTGCCGAGCAGCTTCGTGTTTGGTGGCAAGCGGGGCCCAGCATGCCCTTTGGGATCTTTGTCTTCTCCCATCACCCCACCTTCTGCCTCAGCAAGCAGAGAGAGGAAACGAGCGGCAAGCGGCAGGCGTTGGTTGCGCATCGCTCCGAGGCGCTTATCGCCGAAACCACTGAAGGGAGCCAGAGCGGACTGATGCAGCGGCAGGTTTAGACACTCGGGAGTCTCCCGACGGGAGCCCCCGGATTCCCCAGCCATGGCCTTGGGCATGCTGGCTGCAGGCAGGGTTAGGTGCCTACGGAAGGGATTCGCAGCATCCAGTAAAGCCGAGTGGCAACCCCCTGGGGGGAGGTGGTGGGGCGGACGTTCTCTCCCTGTCTGCGGTGCCTTTCGGTCAGACCTTGCCCGTCCCACCCAGACGGTAGCTCTGTGGGTGAAGTACTTGCCTTTGAAGGAGGACGTGAAGCTGCAGTTCCCATCCTGGCTGAGCGGGATTTGGATCCGCTAACAGAAACCTCCTGTGGCTGTAAGGTCTTTGGGCACTGCTGTCTCACTCCATCCCGTTGAAGCCGTTCTAGCTTCCTGGGATGGGGAGAGACGATGCCAGTTCGGGAGCGCTTTGTGTCCCAGCCCATGTGTCTGACCGCCAGGTCCTGCTTGCCCAAGGGTTCAAGGAGACGGTTTGCTGATGAAACAGGGACTGCAGGGAGCTTACCTGCTCTGGGGTAGCCTTGGGGGTAAATGGGCTTTTTTGGAGACTGTCACTTGCGGTCCTTCCAGAAGCAACTGGCAGTCCTTAGCATGGATATGCTGAGGGGGGTCTACCTCACAAAGTGTGCTTGGGAGAGCGTCTGGATTGGAGGTCTGGCTCCTCTACTTTTTAATCAGCCCTAAAAGGGAGAATCTTTAGAAGAAGAGCCTAAAGGCAATCTAAAAACATCACAAAATTTCTTTAAGCTAGGTATTTATTATTCTACCCCCTTGAGAGTGTTAACTAATGACTTGACTTGGAAAACCTGTGGGGTGAGATCAGCGCAGCCAATTAACTTCAGCCAGCCGGGTCCCTTTGAAATGCACACCATGGCCACTGAAAACCTACTACAGAGATTTTGTTTTGGGAGAATCAAGATATTTGCGTTAGAGAGAGTGAGAGGAGGGCAAAGTGGAAATGAAGACAGCGATAACACCCAGGAAGTGTCATGCGAAGGGCAGCACCCCTGGTTTCAAACGGCTGCACCTTGATATGACTTTGTGACAGAAAACACCAGGTTTGTGTTCACTCAGGATGTTTTACTGAGTCGTGAGATGAGCAGAGTACAAGTTACTCTGAAACTTTCATGATGACCACATCAAGGAAGCTTCACTCCGTTTACATGTGGAAGAAACCACACATTACAACTCAATTGTTTTCTTGCTTTCCACAGACCATAGATTTTGGGAGCTTGCCAAAAGCATTGCTGCATTTAATAAGTAAAATCAGAAACGCTGGGCAAACCTCCAGGACTTCATGTTTTGCTTGAGTTCTCTTTATTTGTGGTCTTTCTTTCTTAATAATCTGGCTGGGGTGATGGTATAATAATTTTCAGACAGAACACTAAAATACATAGTAGTAGACAAAGAAAGAGTGGCTCTAGCAGTCTTTAGGCAGCCTGTAGGAACACGGGCCTGTAAATATTAAAGGAACTGTAAAGCCCGTGCGTTTTGTGTAAGGGCCGCAGTACGCTCTGATGGCTTTACTCATCTTGACTGATGGCTCTGTATTCACTCAGCTTAAACTGGATTTATACAGCTGTTCCACACAGTTTCTTCTGTCTGTCATCTGACTGACTGGGAGATTTGGCCTCTAGAATTTTCAAATTAAATACTAGGTTTGTATGATACAAATATATAGCATGTGCCGAGTGGTAGGCAGGTCAGTGCGTTACTTCCTAGGCTTCTCCTAAGGATTCTTCCTTGTGCCCCCTTCTGGCACCTGGCGGTTGCAAGTCCTTGCTGCTCATGTGGTGGCAGAACTGTTCCTTGTTTTCCATTGCTGAACTGCTCTGGTAGACAGTGGTGACAGAGGATGCTGGTGCCTTTTCTTAAGGCTGCTTCTACTCTGGAGCCATCTGGGCGGTCGTTACACGCCTGTGATGTGGTTGTAGTGGGATAGAAGGCAATTCACAGGATTTCAAAGAGAGGGGAACAGGTATCGAGACAGTTTCTGTCAAGATGTTATGTCAGGGTAAGCCAAATTGGAAGATCACCTTCTATTTTTCTTTCCTTTTTTAATAAGTAACTTCCCATTTATCTTATTCTGACGTAAGCTTTCTGGCTCGTCTAGAAAATTAAGTCACCCCCATACAGTGTAGCATTTTCTTTTCCTGCTGTGGACTTGCATTACGAGATGCAGAGTAGAAGAGTATTTGATGGTGAAGCAGTATTCAACTGATCCAGGTATTAAAACATCAGAAGAGTTTGTGTAATGTTGTTAACCTCTTTGGGGTTTTCCTAGAGATCTGATCTTATAAGCTGTTCCTTTTTGGGGTGGAACCTGCTGGAGTGCAAGGGTGTTTGTAGTCTGTGAAGAAACAGTGGGTTTGCTTTTGTAATTAGCCTTGCTGATGTCAAACACAGTAAAAGGTATCAGAAAACCCTCCTTCTAGCCCATGTATGAAATGATCCCTCTGGCAGACGGGAACTTTGGTAGGACACTAGAAATGCTTGCAACTGTATGTCACGGTCAAACCCTGCGTCAGGATGCCTGTTTGGAAAAGAGTCTTGTGTTTCATGCAGGATAACAGCTCTGTTTGTTCTAGGTGCTACGCAGATGCTTACTAACATTCAAAGAAATTTTAGATGTTACTCGATGGCATAAAAATGTGTTACTTGGTCTAGCATTTCTGCACATAACAGCTGTAATTCTGTGCCTTCCACTCCTCTGCCAAGCGTGGGGAACCATTCAGGAATGATAAATCACATCTTCAACTTCTAAAAAAATTATCCTTGATCCATCTGCCTTTTTTTTTTTTTTTTTGGTGTGTGTGTGGTTGGGTTGTATTAAAAACAGTTTCAGCATGAGGTTAGCATGTGTTCTGCTTCTGAGATGTTATCTGGTCCTCAGAGTCGCAGCAGCTCTTCCTCTCCTGCTGGAGAGGATGCGTGAATCACTTGAGAACCTGTATGATGATGCTGATGCCTTACCAATGTCTGTGAAGTTATGGGCTTTGTTTGAAGGTTTCATTCTTTCACCCATTAACTAGTGTAACTTGTTAAGTATGCACATCAAAAGAATGAGCAATACAGCTAATATTAATATAAGACTGTCTTTTCAATGACAGTTCCCAAGGATGGCCTCAAAAGCCAAGCTGCATTTGAAGAAATGAGGGCAAATTACATTAAAGAACTAAAGAAGATGGTAACTAAGTGTCCAAGTAACTCTGGGCAAAGCTGGCAGAGATTCTACCAACTGACTAAACTTCTTGACTCCATGCATGATGTAAGTATAACTCCTCAGGGAGTGCAGACAAGCTAAGCAAAAATCTCTCCATTAAGGTAAACGTGTAGTCTTTGATTGTGTTAACAAGGAGAAAAAAATGATGAAATTCTTTATAAAGGAACATCTGACAGAAGTTGTTAGATGAATTTAAGGACAACTGCCAAGTCAAATAAGAAAATACAGGTCGTTAAGGGCTGGGTCCTGCTTCCTTCTCCTGTGTTAAGTGGTAGTGTGCTCCTCCAGCGATTCGCTTCAGGTCAGTAGAGCTATGAGTGGGGCCAGAGGCTCTCCAGGGGGAGGAGCGACGTTAGCTGTGACCCCGAGCGGGGCACAGCGCGGGTGCCCCACGCAGACTGTCCCGCCAGTCGTGTCGCAGTGAGAGCTGCCAAGTTGGCGTGTCGCGCGTCTAACCTGCCTGACGCCCTAGTAAGCGCTGAATTAATTTGGTGACTGTTTACAGCCGGGGGTTGTAATAACGGTGACTTTAAAAGATGTGTTAAGGCCTTGGAACCATCTTTGGGTATTTGAAGCTTTGCTGGAGCTGTTGGAGGGTAAGAATCACCGTAGTGCCCTGTCTTGTTCAGTGGGAGGTGTTTGTTTTACGTGCACCAGGTGTGACGCGATGAATGACACTGAAACCAAAGGTTTAGTCCCAAAGCACCCAGCCTGCTGGTGCCTCAGCCCACAGTGGCTCAGAAAGGGGTGTGGTAGGGTGCCTAGTGCATGGGACCAGCTCGTGATTTCAGGAGGGGTATCCGTAACGTTGAACTGGGAGCAAACCGGTTCTGGCCAGTACAGCGGTAAGTGCAGGTTTATCTTCCCCGACGCTTTGAGCAGCAGCGGGGCTGTAGCTCCGTGCTCTCCGTAACAGACCCTGGGGTCCCCACAGAGGAAGCCCATCACCCAGATGTAATGGTCTCCTCGAGCTGAGGGGTTTTCCCCAGAGTGCCAGCCCCTTGCCTGGGGCCAGCAGGGCTGGCACCCGTCCTCTGAACCTGCGCCATGGGCCAGCAGATGACGGGAGACTCAGGGGGCCGGGGATAGCAACCTTTAGTCGCGTCTGGGCACAAGAGAGGAGGGCTCCCACGAGCAGAAGCCCAGCAGCAACTGCTGATCACCTCCTGGTAAGCTGCAGCAAAGGGGAAGACTGTCCTACTCCCTCCTAGGTGGGCAGGGAGGTAACTTGGCTGCCTGAAGAACCTCCAGCGCTTGCTTTCTGATCTTGCACATAAATGTGCTTCTTTGTACTCGGCCTAAATTTCATTTTTGTAGAGACAGTACAGTACAGTGCACTTCGGGTCAAATCTGTGTAAAAGCCTGAGGTCTGTTTACAGAACGTACATATTGAATTATTTTTCAAATATTGTTCTGTTGTTCATTAAAACATTGCAGATCTTGGTGGGAGGCAGGGTGAGTATTATTAGTACTGCAGTAATAGCTCATTCCTCAGAGATCGGGTTTCACTTGCTCCCTGCCAGCAAAGGAAGTTGTAGTGCTTTAGTGGAAAGAACGGAGATGGGTGATAAAATCCTTTGCGAGACACTCACAGCTGAACCTCAGGGCAGCAGAACAAACCCCAGCGTTTACGGAGCTCTCTAGCCCTCTCCCGAACAGGCAGCGCCTGTGACGCGTTATTAGAGTGGGGGGTGTGTTTGGGTGGTTAAGGTGACTGGCTGACGGCCTCGCGCTTGCTGGGAATGCTCCCCTGTCCTACAGGCATTTTCCAAAACGCAGCATTAACTGTGGGGAGCTCAACTCGCTAGAGGAAGCAGACTGCTCTTGCCTTTTATTTAATTTTTAATTAAGCTATTTTTACATTACTTTTGTTTTAATAGAGCACTTTCTTACAAAGGACTTTTTACAGAAAGTCCCATTGTCAGCATTCTCTGTTAAAAAGGCCGGTTGTCTGCACAACAGTGCTGCCTTTCAGAGATGATATCGGAGACTTGTTCAACAAAGACACTTGTTTGGGTTTTTTTTTTCCTCTTTAAAAATGATTTTTTGGTTTTTGAAATCCATAAGAATAAATTTAGAGACTTAAGAATTACTCTTCTCCCCCTGTTAGTGCAGAATTTCTCTGCTCTGTCAGTGTAAATGCAAATTTTCTGCTCAGGTCCTTAGTCCAGGAGGAACACTTTTTCAGCTGCCACCTGTGTATCTTTCATGTACTCCGTTACAATTTCAGAGGATCAGGATACATTTGGTGCTGAGCAGTCTAAGTGGAGCTGAGGCCCCCTCTTTACATCTGCTGTAGCCACAGCATTGGCATTTGCAGCGCAAGCCCGCAGGGACTGGGGCAGAATTCGTGCTTATCCAGCCCTCCCACTGCCTCCAGCTTGTCCATCGGAGCAAAGCAGCATCTCCTGGTTCGTGGAGTTCGTTTCGCCTGGTGCAGCAGTAAACCGTTAAAAAATACCGCTCCTTTGCACCTTTGTGCTTGGTTCATCGACCTGGGTTTTAAGTGCGTTGAGGACTCTGAAGTAAAGCGCGTGGGAATATTGAATGGCAGTCCGCTTGGCTTACGTGAGGACAAAAACAAAAAAAAGGCCAAACAGGATGGTTTTAGGTGGCTCGGTGTGCTAAACCGTTCACCCACACAGCGAACATACGTGCAGGTAGGAAAGTGCCGAGGTGAGGAAAAAAATTTTCAAGAAGGCCAGGTAGGCACTTCAGTATTTGAAAAAATCAGCAACTTTCTGTAATGATCCATAAAGCCCCAGAGCGCCAAAAGTGCAACCGACAAGTGAGAGACGGAAACCCACCCCGAGCAGGCGAGACGGACGCGTGCAGGGCTGAGCTCGGCCCTGGGAGCGTGCCCGCGGGCTGCT